CTGAGTGATAACTACTAATCGTCGCACATTCAACAAAATTGATTGAGATTATCACCCACTAATATCGTGAGCATGGCAAACTCGCATAAACCTCACAATCGGTCGCAAAGACTTACCAATGTCATTTGATTAACTACCAACGCATTGAGACTTTGTGACTCATCAGCCAACCAACAACTTTAACTCATCTGAATATTATGATCTATTTAGCAAAGGAATAAGACAACGTTTGTGACACTTATAATTGTGTAAAAAAAATATATATATGTGCAAAAAGTCAGTGGAAAGGTAGAAAGTCATAAGGTTTCACACAATCAAATTGTGGTGTGGAGGTCGTTGTCTCTCTCCACGTAATATTTGAACATGCAAAACCATCAGGTCAATCAACAAGGAAGAAAAAACACTTGAAAGACTAAGGGAAGGTTGGCGGGGGAAAAAACGTAAGAGGATTTATGGTATCATACTCAAAAGAATATACAAAAAAATTATGCACATGAGAGAATAATAATAATAAAAAAATACAAAAGTGAGAAACAAATGAAAGGTTTGTCAAACAAACCAATTAGGAATAAGATGGCCAATGCCTATGTTTTGATAAACGGATTCCCACACCAGGTGTAAAAAAGGAAATCATAAATTCTATGTGAAAAACAATCTCCTATTTATCATAATTGCAAAAAGAAAGAGAAAAAAAAGTGAAGAATGAAGGTAAATCAACCATTGACAAACGAATTGTATACAACCTTTACATAAAAGGAAAACGAAGGAGCGCAAAAACAATTCATCCCAAAAAATAAATTGTCACAAAAAAGTTATTCAAATATGTGTCATATGGGTATTGTTACAAAAGTGATCCTCCTCCAGCTCAACTAAAGTGAATAATTATTGCAATTCGCATCGACCTCAATTCATGTGCCTCTCATCCAACCTCGATTTGAGAAGGCTTTTGGAGAATCCTTCTCGTACCCTTCAGTTGTTGCCCCCCGAAGGCCTCACAATCATAGGCATGATTGCACTACACTTGGATTCATGTCGTTAACTTCAAGTTATCCCTCACACTTCACCATAACGTCCACTGTCTATTCTTCTCTTTTTTCATCACCTCCACTATTTCATTGTTGTATTCATCATAAAACATTTTTGGAGGAATATTTGCAGTCATCCTTGATATCCATACCTATCTCCATGCTTTTTCCTCCACCTTCAATAGTTTTTTTTTTCACATCATGATCCATTTACCATCGATGCAACGAAACCACGCCACTTACCACTGTCGAAGTATCACCTACCCACAGAGATGTTCACTCAAGTGCAGTTAGTACACCGCCTCTCGAGTGACATCGGACTGTCATAAACTCCTCAATGTTTGTCAATTTCAAAACTACCTCCATACCACCTCCTATGTCCTATTGTTATTACGAAACCTCCTTCTAGATGTTACCAATCTTCAATGACCCGTACATTTCCTAAAAACGTGCCTTGTTTACGCCCATGACTTTAGGAAGTACTGATGATTTAAACCATCAGTTTGTCAACTATAAAATCTAAGTCATGGTGTGCACGCTGTTGCGACTGCTGTGGCTTTCGGATAGTACCGGGGTGCCGTTTCGCACCACTTCCATCCATTAAAAAAGGCACAACGGGCATGTGAGGCCCTTCTTGCCTTTTCTCGACACTTAAGGTGAAATGGGCATGCGAGGCCTGTTTTGCCTTGATCCAGCCTATCCAAACAGCGCCCGGGTACTCCCTGACAGTCGCAGCAGCATGCGCACACATGCAACGACTTTGATTTTATAGCTGGGAGTACCTTTCCCATATATTGGCCGCGGGCAGATTTGGAGGGCCGAAACGAAAAACGGCCACCGATCCCGCTGAGCTTCCGAATATAGCAAGGCAACTTTTTATTTCATGCACGAAAAGGAACTGGTGGTTCAAATCTATGAATCCCCCTCGGCAGCGGACAGGCGCGGTTAAGTCCGCGGCCGCGACCCCGCGGACGCGTCCGCGCAGCGCGCGTCTTCGCGAACGTGTGGCGGCCGCTGGGGAAGGGGGTTTAGGAATCGGGAAGCGCCACGTGGCAGCGCAACCCCGGCCCCACCCCATCAGGCAAAAAAAAACAAACAAAAATTAAAATTTTTGGTTGGGGGGGTAAGGGTGAAATCGAAGAAAATAGAAAGAAAAAAAAACG